ATATATTTTCTAGAGAATCCTTCTGTGTCTTCAGCTTTCATCTTTCACTGAATTACTTGACCTGATGACCACCAGCAGGCAGGATGTGCCAGACATGTAGGAAGGACATAATCTGTTTTTTCCCATTTTCAGCACTACCATCCTCCCTGACTTTTATTTTTTATTCTTCCTTTTTGCTGGAAAAGCAGAAACCCTCCTCTTCTTTGAGTTTCCCTGCTTTTTTGCCACCAAGAAACATACCAGAAATATTAGATCTGTGTTTTTCAACTTGACTGTTACACATGTCAACTCTCATGTGCTTCTCACATGTTGTCAAAATTAATCCCATTGTGGTCAGCAGTGAGAGGAAGTCAAATGGGAACATGGCCAACTACTCTTTGAGCTGCACTGCCATGTATCTGTCCTTATAGCAGGGCTCACAAGCAGGACAAAGAAACTGAGCTGCAAATTGTCTAAAACCATTCCCAACAAGGCAGGATGCAAAGGGATGGTACTTGTACCCTAACCAGCTTCTGACCTATTCTCCTGACTCTGGATGCAGGTAGCATCTTCCATCACTTACTATTTACACCCTTGGTTCTTCTCTGGAATCAGTAACCAAGTAATTTGAATTCTCTAAACTGAATGCGATTTCAGCTGGTTGTTTTCTTTTTTTTTCCAAATCAGTTTGTTCCAATTTTTCCCACTTTACAGCCATAAAGTGTCCAAAGAGAGTTGACAGAGATGGGCTCATCCCTTCAGCCTGATGTGCATCAGTGCTCTCAAGATAGATAAAACAAATGTCAGGGGAGCCACTTCATTTTCTGGAGCAACAGGAACACTGATAGCTCTTGGTAGCTTTAGCAGAGTTTGCATCTTCTTGTTCAGGCTTTGCAATCAAAGCAGGTTTCAGAACAATCCTCAGGGACTTCCCTCAAAAGCAAATATCCTTCTAATTACTCCAGAAGGGATGCCCAAGACAAAGGGATAATTTTCTGGCGTCTCTTAAAAAGTAGGGAATAAAATTTTCTCAAGGAAAAATCTGATTGCTCTTCATCTAGTACAGAAACAAGGGTAGAGGGAAAGAAAGATCATGATTTTTGTCTGCTGTCGTCTTTTCATCAGAACAATGTGAAGAGAATATTCTAAACCTCAGACTCTTCTCTGCCAGTTTCTCTCCTCCTTTCTCACAGTGATTATTTCAGAGGCATAAAGGTATTTCTTTTTCTGTTGGATGTGTATCAGAGCATGGTGCTTCTCAGTCTAACACTATGAGGCAACTGCAGATGCATGCCTGAGCTGAACATATGTCATGAGCACTAAAGAGCATTATGGCATTAGGAAGAGAGAAAAATCTGGTTTTGATTACTGATAATTATAGATAAGCTGTATCTGACAGTCATTTTCTGACCGCAAACTCAAATCAATCAATTAAAGACAGCATGCAGCAGCACCCCTGTTTAATAATTTCCAGGCTCTTTAATATGATCCATTACTTTGATTGATAGCATGTCAGAGCTGCTGTGTACTGTTTGTTGTTGCTGCTGTGGGTCAAGTACACAGCTGCTTTCAGGCTAATTTCCAGGACACAATTCACTATTTCAAAAAAAAAAATAATCTATTTATAGATTAGCCATGACTATTAAATCATCCTCTTGGGTTAATTAAATAAATATTGCAGCAGATGATGATATCTTTTTGATATCTGGACACATGGATAGGTGCAATTTTTAATAGAATGTATCAGTGTTTCATTATGGTGGAAAAGATGATGAAATAATGTAAGTTCAACTGTATTCCTACCTAGTTCCTATTCTTAAAGGTTTTTCCCATGGAATTTCAAATGCAGGAGAGAAGTTTGCAATGGTACCTGGACAAAGAGTTACTGCCAGATTGTAAGACTCTTCACTGGAACCACTTTAAACAACTGGGTTGTCTTTTGCTGAAACATGTTGTGTTTCGAAGCTTTGAAAAGAGATGTTCTGATGGTTTAGTAATGATCAGCTAACCTTTTCAGAATGTTATATTTGCTTTATTTGCTTTAGGATAATTTTAAAATCAGATGTTTTAAAATATTGAGATATTTAATGTCACATACACAAAAAAAAAGCTAAGTCAATCAAGTTATTATGATTTTATCAAAATGAAATATTGTGAATGACACAAGATTATTTTTCATAGGATTTTCCTTCAGGGATAAATTTTCAATTTTTAAAAGATATAATTTGTTTTTCTGTAAAAAAGCTGATTTAAATAAATTAATATTTGTAGTGTAAATCAAATAATTACATCAGTAATTTTTCAGTCAAATTCCAAATAAAAGTGGATAATAGCTTATACTTTCCAGGCAGTGTCAGCCAGCATGGCACTAATTCGTGACTAGATTTATCAGAAAGGCTCAGACTCATCCATGGAGCAATAATGGTCATTTTCATTTAGGTATATGCTCCAGTTACACACAGAAATTAAAATAAATTAAATCTCTGAGAAAAGAGCTCAGCATAATGCTGAGATGCAGGACTTTGGATTTCTATCATCAGCTTTGTCATTCTGTGTTTCCTAAACTATATTCAGTTAACATATTTTTAATGTTTGGTAGAATCTGAGCTGCTTCATTTCAGTTAAAAAAATTAATTTCTAAGATAAATTGACTGAAACCAGATTAACCTATTTTGTAAGAAAGTGTAATTTTACTAAGCAAGGATATCTGTACCAGGATTCAACACATTTTAATAAATACATTTTAAAATAAGGATGGACTGTTCCTGATTTTTTTTGTATTCCAGTATTTCCAGACTAAAATGTCTCTCCATGCCACTGTCTACATTACTCAAAAAAAATTACATGAGTAGCAAAAATCGAGCATCTCCAACATTATAAAGTCAAAGCTGGTTTCTGTCAAACATTGCAAGTGAGTCTCAGCTTGGTTACCTTTTGACATTTCCAGCAGTCCCCTTATACAAACCCCATAGGCAATGGAGACAAGTAGGACCTTCCAGGACGCAGCTCATCTCATCCCCAAGCATGTCACAAGCATGAGGCCCTCAAAGTGCTAATATGTCACCACAGTCACCAAGAGGAGCAGAAGGTGACCAGCTTGGCTGTAGACATGTGCATGTGGCCACATAAAGCTCCTGTGCAGAATCCAGCTCCCCAAAGAACTGGGATATCTGACTTGTTTTCTTCCTTCTCCAGAGGGCTCTAGGTAGGCTGGGATTAGGAATTCACTGCCACAGTAGCAAGCAAATTCCACCCATGGTAGTTTGGAATGATTTTGGGCAGGGGTTGATGTGGGTGACTCTTCCCCTGTCTCAGGAGCAGAAAATGTCTTCTGTGCACAAGCTGGTCCATCACTGAAGCACCTCGTCCTGCTGCAATGTACAAGCATCTGGGTAGGCACACTTACCAGAGTCCCCCTTCCACCCCACAAATTTAAAAAAAAAAATTAATTTAGTAGAGATGCTTTTAAAAGAGTCTTTCCTTTTGTTTGTGTGAACTTCCTCTTGATCTCCTTGAGTATTTTGCCTGTCTAAGGCGTTTCAGCAGGACCCAATGCCAGGGTGCACAGCAGAAACTCTTTGTCTCTTCACTGGAATATTATCAGCTGATCTGAATACACTCTTTTGAGATTGTTTATTTACAATATTCCTCTTGGAACATTTACACTCCACTGATGACTTGAAATTTAAGCAGTTATTTATAATCAGGTTAAATTGTACCACATTTTTATTCCACTCACAAGTGAAGTTAGTTATCAGATTACATGTCTGTTTCATTCCTTTTATCTCTGATACAATGCCTTGCTCTCAACAATGGCATCAAATGAATTTACATGTCTGACTATAAATCATGCACATGTCGAAACAACAATGCTGAAAGGATTATCATCACCCTCTGTAATTACAATAATGGAAAACAGATACTGAAAGGACATTTTTCTAATCCTTGAAAATCCCTGAGGAGGTAAATTTACTTTTCCTTGGGGAATATTTAACACAAGTAAAATTATTGGTTTATTCGTCTGTTGAAAGAACTGAGCTTTAATAAGCACAATGTCACAATATAAATTTAAAGTATATTTTATTGTACCATAGTGGTGGGGGTCTCCAGATGGTCCTGATATACACAGTTTTCCAGGGAAGTGCTTTTTTGACTGAGAACACTGATCACTGTCTGATGAAATCCTCTGTCATAGCTGAGGTGCACTACTGTTTGTGGGAGCCCGTTGCAAGCAGCATGAGAAAATATCATCCCCTAAGACATAACAGGCATTTTGTCCGGGAGCTGGGTTGTAGTGGAGCTGGGTGTGGTGGTTTGCTAGAGATTTTGGAAGAGAAGAATTTCTTCATCTCTTTGACCAACTCCATTTAAGAATGGATCTAGGTGGTATAATAAAAGAAAATAAGAAAAACTGAAAAAAAGAAACAGCTACATACCATCTTTTTTTTTTTATTTTATTGTAACAAGAGTGCATCCACCTCTTAAGTCCTGAATTTTAAGCTCTGAAGTCTAAATTGAGTCATATATTTTAGGACTTGAGCAAATCTTGGTGGATACATAGGCTTTTCTTGTCTTCATGGCAGCTAATTCTGTACCACAGAATCAGATTTCTTAATCCAATATTTGAAGGCAAAAGTTGACTACTGTAGCAGATAAATACCACATCTCATGGTGTTTGCCTCTACTGTTGTTTCTCTGCCACCCAGCAAATAATTTTAAGCTAATGCTATTCTGACTCTGGAGCAATAACCTTCAACTTGGGTACTGTAGTGATGGGACAGGAGCTCAGATTTAAATGATCAGTCTTTGCCCATCCAGCACATTTTGAATTTTACAGGGTAAAATGCACTCATACATGCAGTTTGTCAGCTGTGGGGGCAGCAATCTCCAGCAGGCAGAAGCAGCAACCTCTTCCACTTGTGTGGTAAGAGCTAGAAGTTCACAGCCTAAGCCGTGAGGTTTTGGTTCCAGGGGTAGGCCACCTGCTGCTTAAAGAAGGCAGCCACAACAGAACCACACTAAAATGTTCAAATCAGGTTTATTATCCACCAGCATGACTGTGTGCCACTCAACCTTCTTCTCTGGTCACTCTTTCCACCAGGATTCTCTAGCATGTTCTGGCACTTTTGTCCAGCTTCAGCAGCAGGGAGGGCACAGTTCTGGTCTCTGAATTTCCAGATGGACACTGAGAGGAAGCAACAATTAAAAGGAGTACATGGAAAAAAAAGAATAGCTTATAAAGAAGCACTGTTAAAACACCTTATTGGGCCATGTTGGGTCTAATTCCGTACAGCATGGTTTGTGTTTATGCTCTTGGAATAACAGTTCTCAAAGATAGTGAATATCCCCAAAACAAATGCTTTATTGTAGAGTTGTTCAGCAGAGCTGCTTGTAAAAAATTCCACCTGGATTTCTCCCTCAGCAAGCCCATCTCACCCTTCAGCAAGTACCTGCCACATGCTTGGGGAAGAAGCACTCCCCCTGCTTGTGGTTAGCAAAGGGCTCTCTCCATTTGAAGAGGGCTTGCTTTCTCTCCTGCCTACTTGTTTGTCTCCTGGTAGAGCTGTGGAAGCTCTTGCGAAATGTGTGGGTTGCCAGAAGAAAACATTGCTCTGCCTTGTTTACAGAATCCAAGCTCCCTTAAAACAAACCAATAATGGTTAAAGAGAGTACCTTGTGTCCTTCTTCAAAGGATAGCCAGCACATGGATGGCCAACCCAGGGCACAGGCTGAACGCAGCTTTTGAGAAACATAATTTGGTCTTTTCTTCTCATTTGGTGATGGGAAGAGTAAATTGCCTTTTTCCTGAATGGGATCACCTCTTTTCAGATGTATTGGAGGAGTCAGTCCTGCAAAGCCAAAGTAGTGAACATGAATTGTCCATGCACAATTATCAGTATGAAAAGGAAATATGGGCTCGGTGAAGCTACATTTACAAACCTAGGCCAAATCTGGAGTAAATCTGCTAGTAAAGTGTCTTGAATATGAGCTGGGAAGCTACCATTTGTAATCCATCCCTGAATACAGGTCCTGACTCCTTTCTCTTCTCTTCAGATGATCTATTAAGTCTTCTGGAGCTATCCATTTTCAAAATTTGAATATAACGTCAGAGACTAGGATTTGTCTTCTCTAGTTTTAGGCATATACAAAACAAACATATAAATCTAAGCTTGTTACTGAGACTCCTTTCACAGTCAATAGAGGTCTCTTCAAAATAGACAATAGAGTCTGGGATCAGGTGGGTCCATACTTCCACTGATAAACTGATTGTATCTCAGAGAACTCTAAGGTATGATTATCTGACTAGATCTGGTTCAGACACCTACAGTGTAGCCCCCTAAAATTAGGAAAGATGGATCCCAGTGAAGGAAATGAGCATGAGCAGATCTTGTAAAACTTTACTCATTCTATAGGTACAGAGCATCAGATTTTTTAGTTTTTCCTTACTTTACTAGACTGTTGCAAAGAATTTTACCCTAGATAAGAATTTCTCTCATGTAAGATTTTGCAGGAGTAATTCCCCCTTGTCAGAGTAGCCAAAGTTCCTGTTGGAGAGCCAGAGGCACTCTTCTGAGAGCTGACAAGTATGAACTGATGGAACAGTCCATCATGCCCTCACCACCAGGAGAAAATCAGTACATAATCAGTCCTAGATCTAGGAGAATCATAAATTACCTATGCAGCCTCTTCTCTGAGGGTAAACATGGATCACCTGGGAATGATTGCGCAGGAGACCTTCACAAGGACTGGAAACTTGCCCTTCAAGTCAATAACATTTTGCTTAAATCCTGTGAAGGTCTCTATAGACACGGCCACCTTGGGCACTTAGCCTGTACTTTCTCATGCCCCCACAAACACAAACAGGGCCTTAGCAAAGAGCTTTTTGCCAGCTCTCAGACCTTCCAGTCACCTCCCAGACCTCCACCCACTCATTTCCTGAATGGCACCTTTCAGAGTTCTTACCACACCACCGAAGGAGCAGGTGCTAATCCTAACTCTAAATAAATATTTCCTGTGTCCTTTATGGTCAAACCTGAACCATAGTAGCCTTCTTCAAATTTCCTGCCAGCTCATCCCAGGGAAAGAGTGAGAGTTCATGTTTTCTTTGTACATTGTCACCACTAGATAAGATCACTATTACTACAAGGTGCACCTACAACACAGAGCAGAGCTGGTATTTGTGTTCAGGGTGTAGTGTCATGGACTTAGACTCCAGTTCAACAAAAAATGTATAATAATAATACAATATATATAATGTCCATGAATCTTGCATTTGAAGAAGACTTTAAATCTACTGCTGAGACAAGACTGAATATTGGCTGCCCTTCATCTCAGAATATTATTACACTTGGTGCAGTAGTCAGCTTGCAGCAGCCATTTAAATGCCTGCAAATATATATAAACACAGATGCCCCACGTTTAATTTCTGTTGCATCAGACTTAACAGAAAAAGCCAATGTCCAGAATTTCTGATCCCTCCTCCTTTTCTCCAGCAATGCTCAGATGGGATATAGTGAGAGGAACATCATGCAAAGCACACTGATATATCACCCTGACCCTAAGGCCTAAACCTTCAGACAATATTACTCAGTCAAATTATATTCAGTTCTGTACAAACATCTAAAATAGATGAGTCTGAAAGAAGAAATGCTGCCCCAAGACATTTCAAAGACATTTGCAAAAAGATACCGCTCAGGATTTTAGAGTTCTTGTTTTCATTACTCTGCGCTCAAGTATTGGCCAAGTATCAAAGCTCCCGAAAGCAACAAGACAACTGGGATATATAAAAAATGGGAAAAGAGCTCTCAAACTGTCCCTTGAAAGAAAGACTTCTTTTCTCTGAAGTTTTAGTCTCTCCTGCAAGGTTTCATTTTTACGATATTTTTAAATCAATCTACAGTGATTCTTTAATTACACTGCTATCAATACAGCAACAGTATATCCTAAAAGCATTACAAATACATACTGAAATTAATGTGCCTAGACTCCAGGGTTCAGACTACCATGTGCAGTCTCAACATACAATGCTCTTTTGTTTTGCCCTTCTAATTTAGCCTTTGGAAAGTTCTCTGTGACAGCCAAATCAAGTGGTTTCGGAGAGTGGCAATACTTGCAGCAATCATTTCCACTTTCTTTCCAAACGTTTCATCAATCATTTCCACTTTCTTCTCTTTTAAAAAAAGTGCATTCAATTCCCACTTTAATTAAGAAGCTGAAAACACTAGGTGAGGCATAAATAACAGAAAGACTGTAGAAAATACATGTCACCAGCAGACTATCTCCAGAAATGAAATGGACTTTTCCAGGTGATTGAAACACTGCTTTTAATAGCATCAAATGTTAACTATTGTATATCTCAGTGATCTAAATTGAGTCATATAAAACTTTGTCCTTAACATCAGGAAAATAAACAAACACAATAGAAATATGACGCCCTCCTGTGAAGCTGTACCAGTCTGATACTTACAGCTGTAGGCACTGTAATTCTTTTCTCCTCTCCTATGAATTTTTCATGAAAAAGAAAAGTAGGATCTCAGAGGAGAAATTCTGTCCTCTGGGACAGAATTTTTCATAAATTTCCATTTTGCAGAACTTCATAATTTTGGTTATTTTTCCCTAGAATTTTGGAAGACAAGAAACATCCTTACTGAAATTAAAAAAAAAAAAGACATTAAAGGACCAGAAGTGGTGACAATGTCTCAACTTTTTTTTTTTAATTGAAATTAAATGGATATAATTTATTTCAGTGGCTATGACCTACATAATGCCTGAGGTCTAGTGTGTCAGAGTCAGAGGCTCTTTCTGAACACCGTTTTCACTAGCTGCCTTATTTCTCTTTTGCTATATATGTGTCTTCTACAAAGAGATCTGCTGAAAAACATATTTCCAGAATTTTTTTTTATAAGTTAATGTATGGTGTGGTTGTCTGTGTCAGCAAGGCACTGGAGCTGATGATTCAGGAGGTCCAGTCCTGTGTGTTTGGTTTCACAGACTTATGGCACTGGCCAAGAAGAGGTACTTACCCGAGTCTCAGGTATCCTTGCAACAGCTCAGGAAATAGTAGGATCAAGCCCAGCAGGAAGTTTCTGCTCCCCATAGGTGGATTACTAGTTACAGCAAAATTGATATTGCTTCTCTATCCACTCTCAACCCCCATTTTTTTTTTTTGCAATCAGCATTTTCCCACAAGACTTCCTGGGCATTTATTCATTTAGTGTGATCTAAGCTTGGACAGGTGCAACCTGGGACATGACGTAACTTTTTGGAACTCTGTGGCATAAGCTCTCTGCCTTTAATGGTTTAGGGATAAGGCAGAGGAAGAGATTAAGTCAGTAGAGAAAAGGGGAAAATTTGGTTTGCTGCACTTAAAGGAAGGAGCAGAAGGTAGCCAAACTGCTGTGCCAGGGAAGCACCAGCATACACTGATGGTGGGATCAGAAGATGCAAATTATTTCACCAGGGAGTCTAGGAAGGCAATTACCTAAAGTCACTGGACAATGGAGAGTCAGAGGTGAAGTAGAATAACAGATGACTTGGCTCTGAATGGCAGAGCCTCTATTAGCCTTGTTGTGCTAATTCCCTCACCTATAACTTAGAAGCAATAATAGGAATACTGATCTCCAGGGCTTTGTAAGCTTTTTACCATGCAATTTATAAATGCTATTTCTACAGCACTGACTTCAACTGTGGTACTTAATGTGAATAGGCACTTAGGAAGGAGTCACACAGCAAGTAATGCCTGAACCTTAACATTGCAGACAGCAACTCTGCAAAGAAAAATGCAATGACCTCTTTTTCTCCTTCTTCATGCACAGACTGCAGATTTTCAACCAGGGGTCCCAATGAGTGAGGAAGGTGCTGCTGTGAGATCCATCCCTGTTCTATGCCAGGTTTTCTTCCTGGCAGTGCACCAGGGCCAGGTGGACTCCCTGGCCACAGAGACTCCTGACTGTGGATTTCCTGCTCAGGCTCAGGGAGATGCAAAAGCCCAAAGTGGCAGAAAACCACACCTATACATAAAAATTATTTTGGTTTTAATAACCAGAGTCAGGCAGAGAGAGGAGTGTGTATGTAAGCATATTTGTAGAAAGGAACACCCTTTGCCTAGTGAAAGAAGCAAAAGTTACTCAGGTGGTTAGGCTAAAGAATGGCAGTATATACTGGCAGCTGTGAGTGAATATCTGCTTTAGAGGTGTGACCCCTTGATCAAGCAACTAAAAACTTTCAAAATGTTATGTTTGAGAGAATGAAGTTTTCTTTTATCTAATACAGTATGTTGTAGAAATAAAATTATCACAGAATCTTTCTGAAGTCGGTAGGTGAGGCCATCATGTTATTTCATCACCCCAAGTACTGATGAAACCTCAGTTATTGGAAAAAGTAACCATACATCTGAGCAGAAAAGACCAAAGTTCAGTTCCCAGAACTGAAAGATAAAGTACAAGAACTGTAGTTTTTCAGGACTTTTTTCCCAGTTCTCTTGATATTTTCAAAGGAGGAGTGAAATAGAAGTCAGAATTAATCTGTCCTAGATTTATTTCAGAAAGATATGGTCAAATTTTGTCAATCACATCACCATCACATTTTACTGTGCCCGTTAAGAGCTCAATTAAACTTGAGAAACCTTTACAAAGTGAGATTTTTTTATTGGTGCCTTGATTACACCCTGTTCCTGGTCTGAACCGTGTGCCCTCCCTCACCACAGTACGTGCTATAAACAGCTGCCCTGAGGGGCGAGAATAGGAAGTGGGAGAATATTTCATCAGGTAATTATTACCATCAAATATATATCTATATATCCTTATATAGGTATGTACATATATTTAAATGCTACAAAACTTGGCAGGAT